TAAGTAAAATATAAAATTAATAATAAATAATAAATAATATAAAATTAATAATGAATTATAAAATATAGCATATCGGTGTATACAGAGTGGTTAGAATATTTAAGGCGAGGCTACCTAAATATTCTTTTCGAATTGTGACGATGCAGAAAATAAAATTTTTCACCCAACTTGAAATGACATTTCTTCTTCATCATGTTCTTTGATGATATCTGAATGTATTTTTTTACCAGTCACACGATACAATTTAAAAAAAAAAAGAAAAAGAAACGTGTAGTTGTATGGAGAAGAGAAAACAATATCCTTGAAAACTCCGAAAAAAAAAAGATGACTTTGGAAAAAAGATATTCTTACCGGTTATTGTATTATTACGACACACGTCAAATTTATATCATTGATGGTTGCGAACGAACTTATTAAGCAACTTAATATTATAGTATAGTTATAAATGAGTAGTCGTGTAACATTTTCGTTAAAATAAAATCGTTGATAATAAAATTGTACTTGAATAACGATAAAATGAGATTGATTCTACTCAAAGTAATTTCGCTACTAAAGTCAAAGACAGATTTTTTTTTTTCTTTTTTAATTAACGTCGGGCAACGACGTTAATCTACATCACCATATTAACCACATCGCCATTCGTTGCTAAATTTGCCAATATTTCGTGTTTTTGATGATATTTTAACGTGTTGTAATTTCTTTTTAAATTATAATCGCGCACTTGAACAACTCTGCCATATCATTATTATTAAATTAAAATCGCTCTCGAATAAATTAATTAATTAAAACACACGCAGCGACAATTTTTGAATTTTAGCGTCAATAAATTTCAAATCCGTCCGAGAAAATAAATACGGATAAATAAACTTTCAAACAAACCAATTGTTCTGTAAATGAAAGGTTGGCCTTTGCTCACCGGCATTAGACAATTAAGAAACAGGAACAAAGGGTTTTCTTTGGAGTGGAGGCACACGGACAATAAAAGCATTGTTTCGCCGACCCTAGCTGATAAATTGTGCTTCCACTTGTTGTTCAAAGAAGGGTTAGTGACCGAAACGATTCGATTGAGAAGAAAGAAAATAAGTCGAGAACGTGCCGCGTTAATTACATGTTGCAACGAGAGGCTAAAGTTGAACAATAATTTCGAAATGTTAATTTACTTGCCCCTCCACAGAGTATCGAATCATTGATTTGTTTCGCAACAAAAGTGTGTTTCACTTTCATTCGTTCGACGTCTATTCGCGGACACATTGGTGGAATTTAAAATATCCCTCGTCACTCGTCGGATAAAGTACCATCGCTTAATAAAATGTTTCACGTCGCTGCACTTTTCATATTCCGAGCTTAGTCCTTGCGGTTCGGTGAGCTCTCTTTCCAACAGACTTGCTCGGTCGTATTACACAGTGAGAAGTGTATAGAAAGTATCAAAAGATTAATAAATTGACTGTCGAAAGTTCGATAGGTTGTGAACGTGTGCGCGTTTGAAAATTGCGAGAGAAAATTATACTTATAAAGAAAATTGGCGAGCAAAAGAATGAAGGAGAAACGAAAAGATATGTAAAAACATATATGCGTGCAGATATTTCTGCGGTTTGCTTGGAGAAACGTTGCATGTCACATACTTTCACTATCGAGATGTTAAACGTTTAAAGCTCTTTCTATTGAATTTTCTTTTTTTTTTTCTTTTTTTCACCCTATAAATTTCATTTTCAATATTTCAAAAATCAATTGACGCATAAACATTGACGCAAATATTTTTCAAGTTGTGACACTCAGCTACAGAGTTGATAATTATTTACACGTATGTTAACTTTGGAATGATCGAAATGGGCAAAATGACTTATTTTGTAATTTTTTTTTTTTTTTTTTTACGAATTTTATAGATGTAAAGCAACGTAGCGTTGAAGATGGTTTTGAAATTTTTGTGTAAAATATATATGTGGATAAAAGCTTGTGTACTCTGTTGTATTGTTAGTGTAAAGTTTTTTCCATTTCTTTTACTTTAATGTCTCTGGTGGAAAATTTTACTCTGTAATCGATAATTCTTTAGTGTTGAATAACATGAACTTTTACATAATGGTGCAAACGTTAAAAATGGAAATGTTTCGATTGCACAAAATTACATTTCCAAATCTAAATCTATTTTTGACAAAACAGACAAGTACTTTAACGCAAAATATTAAAATCTTGAACAAGTTTTCTTCAAATTGGAACATCTCTGGTAATTATAAATTACAATTGTTCCCCATTTCTCCAACTTGATTTATCCCTTGGTGTCAAATTGACGCAATGCTACAAAATTAATAGAACATAAAGATAAATGGTCAAATCTGTGAATTGATTTTTTTTCAAAATATTTTTCGTTTTTAATCTTTCTTTTTTTTAATAATTTCACATTTCTATTCAATCACGTATAAAAATCACCATAATCTAATTCTATTATTAAAAATGGTAATAAAAGATATTCTATACGTTAGAAAAATAAAAGAGCCATAATATTTATATATTTATGTTAATCAATTGGCTTCATATTATTACATTTATTAACGATAATATATGAACGTAACGTGAAATATAAAACCTGGTAAAAAGAAAAAAGAAATGATTTCTTGAATCATGAACGAACATTGTACATAAATGTCAGAGAACCTCGAGTAAATACAAAAGGAAAGTGTCAATTTGACGCAAAGAACGAAATTATAGAGTGCTAAAAAAATAGAAAGAAAAAAAACAGCTGAATGCCACTGAATGCGTCAAGTCGCGAACATCGCGTTATCATTATCCGTTTGCTTCTCACGTGAATCTCTGTCGCCATTCACACGATTGAAAGTCACTTTTATCAACGGCCTGTAATCAAACGTATTGATTACCGAACTTGCTTTCATTTCTGGAGCATGAGGATGACGATAAAAAGACCTCCGAGGAACCGTCGCAGCCAGAAGAAACGATTTCGTCACGCCAGAAGCCCGACGAGACGAAGGATCTTGAAAGAGAAGATCTCGTCACGCGATTCGATAGAGTAGTCGCAGGGGCAGATCCGGATGAAACTTTTCAGGTGTGACATTTTCAGTGACACTTTCCACTCTGAGGAATACTTTCTCTCCAAATCGTGCAGAAAAGAATGATAATTACACGTTAAACGTATTTGGCTAATTCAATAATTAGCGAAATTTTGAGAATATTTTCAAATTTCGTTTTACTTGATTTGTTTTTTTTTTTTTTTTTTTTACTATTTTACAAATTTCGATTCTTGACTCGAAATTAGATTGCAATTATTCAGAGAGTTTCATTGGTTAAAATTTAAAATCAATTAGCTGCCTAAATGCTTCAAAAAGTATGTGCTTTCTTCTAATTATACAGTGAGATTCGTATTAATATTTGGACAAAAGATTTTTACTCTATACACATATTTGTTATAATTGGTAGAATTTTATATATTTGATGCACGTTATTGTTTGCGTGAGAAGAAGTGGCAAAATGGACAATGGCAAAGTTTTAGAAACGCAAAAAAGTTTGAATATCATTCAATTTTTTTTCTTTGCAACTTGGGACTTCGCCTTTATTTAATTTGTTTGTTTCTTACGCAAAAAACTGCATAGGATAAATAAAGAAACAAAGCCACAACAATTGTCTTGACACAGTGTATTGAAAAACATTGAATTCAAGAGATTTGAGATTGTTGTAAATACATATATAGAGCTGTAATGATCTCTGTACATATATATACTTGTTGTAACGTGCGAACATTTCATTTCGATTCAAATACCAACAATTACCCTGAGAAAATCACGAGGAAAGATAGGATTGACGGATAATAATCTTTAATCTACAGTCGCCTTCCCTTTCCAATCGTAATGACACGTAAACGTGACTTTAGGAAAATAATCAGTCAGTTTCATTAACGGTAACATCAATGACTCGCGATATACGCGACGACGAGTACAATTTCAGGAGAGACGCGCAACTAGAAAGTGTTAACCACTTGCGCTGGCAACTAATTGCGGACCATAACGAGTGACCAAACCGTATACAACAATTCGTCGCTTTCTTTTTAAATTCGTCGGTATGATATCACTGGATAGAAGTTATTGACAAGTGATAAATTTATTATTTGCTTTGCCTAGATTATACTTAAATATACTTAAAAATATAGTAATTTTCGGGACAAAAAATTCTCGAGGTGCATGACACGTCATTCCAACGCAAGAGGTTAACTACTTGCGCTGACAACTGATTGCGGACCATGACGAGTGACCAAACCGTATACAATAATTCGTCTTCTTTTTGAATTCATCGGTATATCCTGCACAGAAATTATTAAAAAGTAATAAATTTATTATTTGTTTCACCTGGGTTATACTTAAATATACATAAAACTGAGAAAATACAGCAATTTTGAGGACAAAAAAATTCTCGACATGCGTGACATGTCATTCCAACTGATTGCGGACCATAACGAGTGACCAAACCGTATACAATAATTCGTCTTCTTTTTGAATTCATCGGTATATCCTGCACAGAAATTATTAAAAAGTAATAAATTTATTATTTGTTTTACCTGGGTTATACTTAAATATACATAAAACTGAGAAAATA